TTGATCTTTAAGAGACTATAGGGAGGTGCATTCCAAGCACATTCAGAGACATGGAAGATTTGGGGCATGAACAATGTGCAGACAGAGACAGATTTCTAGATGGGAATCAAGACAGGTTTCTCTCCGTTGTCTTGGAAACATGACTTAAACCTTAGAAGACATTCAGCGGAATGATAAAGAGAATTTCAACCAGCTGAGGGGTTATGGAGTCACATCTAACTGACGTGTACAGTTTGGTAACTAACTCCCAAATAAAAAGTGCTTCTTCATCTCATTTAATTCAACTGTAAGCCATTTGGCATGCATATGAAGGCTGTAGAATCTTTAAATTGAACTTTTTATTAGATTTGTTGGGGTAACATTGGTTAATAACATTATACTAATTTCAGGTGTACAGCTTTATAACACAACATCTGTATGCTCTATTGTGTGCTCTTGTAGAACCTTAATACATAAATGGAATAAAGTAAATCAGACAGCAGACAAGCCGGCTGCTGTACAATTCCACACCCGTTTCCTAGCTGCTTCCAGGACTCCTTAGACCCATGGTCGGCAAACTGAGGCTTTTGAGCCACATGTGGCTCTTTGCCCCTTGAGTGTGGCTCTTCCACAAAATGCCACGGCCTGGGAGAGTCTATTTTGAAGAAGTGGCGTTAGAAGACGTTTAAGTTTAAAAAATTTGGCTCTTAAAAGAAATTCCAATTGTACTGTTGATATTTGGCTCTGTGGACTAATGAGTTTGCCGGACCACTGGCTTAGACAGTTACCTGACAAGGCAGAATGGTTGGCATGTCAGCCAGCTGAGGAGATCTTCCATAAGTGGTTCTTAAGTTTTAGCTGGCATGAGAAATGTTCTCTCAGGCTGTGCACACAAGTCATGTAGCTGATCTCTGCAGGGCCATTTTGACAATCCTATACGTGGTTTTGCTGCCAATAGCTCTGAGGAGATGTGGGTGGGGGAGGGGATGCTTTCAGCTGACAGCCCTGTGTGACGTGCCTGCCCAGCTGCTAGGACTGTGGTCAGGGTGGGCCTTCTGCTTACTGCGCTCAAGTGTGGCAGGGATAAGGCGACAGATCCACGTGTGCCGTGTCCAGGAGGCAAAGGACACCATCCTGGCTACTCCTGGCCAGGCATTGGGCCTGGGTGTTCGTGATTCTTGAGAGCCTGATGAGACCCTCTGTCTTGTGTCAAGCTCAGCGACCGGTGGCCTGATCAGTAGTGATCAGCTCGGCGGCCTTGGTAGCTCACCACTTCCCTGGAGGATGCTTTTTCCTCAGCGGGCATTTGACAATGTCTGAGGACATTCCTGAGCGTCACTACCGAGGGGCTGTGGCTAGCCATCCTACAGTGCGCGGGACGGCCCTACAACAAAGGGCTGGGCCCCAGAATGCTCACTGGGCCAAGGGTGAGAACGCCCTGGCTAGAAACTTCCTTTCCCGCATTCCATCGGAAGCAGCAGCGACTAGATCTGGAAGCCTGGGGAGCTAGCTGACGCCTCATGGAAAGATGAGTGCGGGAGGATGGAGTGTGGGCTTCTGAGGACAGCGGTGTGCACCTGCATTACTCATCCGGCAGCGTGCGCCTGGGTCTGCCCCCACCCGAGCTGGGCTGCTGGTTAGTCTGAGGAAAGTGAGGAGGTCTAATTCCACTTGGTTCAGTGAGTTCCCAGGGGGCCCCCACCTGTCTGCGCTCACTGGCTGCTGGGTACACAGCTCCCTGGCCTCCTCTTCTCCATGGAGACCCAGGGGGAGCCTCGTCATTGTGTTCCCGCCTGCTCACCAGGCTTTGTGGGAACCGCGGGGGGAAATCAATACCAGCTCCGGGGGAGGCAGCTCACTTGGCTTTTGATTCCTGGAAGGCCCGGTGACTCTTTCCGTGCAACCCTAGCAGCTTTGTGTGGAGGCGGGAGGAGGGTGCTCCCAGCCCATTCTTCCTCCTATTATTTATCCTCCGGCCCCTCCGGAGTGGGGCTCTTTGTGTTGAATAGAGTTACCTGAGAGGCACACCGAGTCTGTTTTCTTAATTCTTATTCTAGGGCGTAATTGAATCTGGATCCGGAATTGAATGGTGCCTGGCAGACACAATACAGTGTCCTTACAATTCACAGGTGAGGGAAACACTGCCCAGGCAGGAGGAGGCCAAGGCAGGAGGAGGCCGCACCGATCCTCGCTTGTCTTCACACCTGGCGGCTCCATACTTACCTGACCAGTCTGGTCACTGTTTTCAAGTTTTGGGAATTGCAACTAAAACCACTGGCACTGTTATGGTTTAGTTAATAATGATTCTTGAGGAAAGGTCTAGAAGAGTGAAATGACTCCATGTGAACCCAAATTTGTAGGCCTGGTGCAGTTGCCCACAATCTCTTGGAACATTGTACCAATATGTACCCTGAAGAGATGTGTATGGACACGAGCTCTGTCCGCAAGTCACACCAAGGGACACGGTGGGGTGGCCATGTGCTCAGAGCCCCGTGCAAGCACCCACTAGGTATGGCCCGGTGGCTAGGAGACTCATTGTCACGTGGCCTCTGCCTACGTGGCTGCAGCGTCACCTGTTTCAGGAACATGCCAGGCCCTCTCCTGCTCGGGGTCTTGGCACTCGCAGCCCGGGGCCCTGGCTTTCCTAGTTAACGTGGAACTCCTGCCTTTCCTCCCAGTGCACTCCCACCCTTCAGGCTCTCCTCGCCTGCGCCGTTTCTCTGCACACCCCTGGCTGCCATCTAGCATGTGGAACCCCAGCATTGCGGACGGCACAGCGTGGGCTCGGGGAGTGAGTGCTAAGCGAGGAGATGGGCCCTCGCTGGTCAGGGCTGAGGAGTCGGACAGTGGCCTTCCCTTGTCGCCTGGGCCAGAGGAGCCGCCGTTTTGTTTGGGTTCCTTTCCCTTCCTTGTCAGCTCCGGTGAAGGGAGTGGTGTATGGGACTGGCGCCGCTGCTGAGGCTGCCATGATCAGCTCTGTCCTGTGGTCGCAGCGATGGCCAGCGGTCCCGGAGAGAGGGCCAGGCTGGCTCGGTGAAGATCCACGTGCACGCGTCTGATGACTGTTCGCACAGAGACCTGCCTCTATAACCACAAGAACCCGAGAGGAAACGGGGCAGAGGGTATGGACAGTTCAGAGGGGTGGACCTGGGACCTGGCCTTTCATGTCCAGGCTCACTCACTGTGGGAGAAGTGCGGGTTCAAGGGCACCGAGATCTGTTTTTTTCGCAGCATCAGGTGGGCTAACGTGCAGGCCCTTGGGGAGGCTGTGGTGGCAGGCAGCCTCATCCCTTACAGCTCTGAGGAGGCCCGTTTGGGAACAGCCATGAGAATTTGAAACCGCCTCTGCCCTCTGGTCCAGCAATTCCACTCCGCCCCGCTCCGGGCAGGATGTATTTACACGTGTGCAAAGCGGTGTTTGCGTCAGCTGACTGACCCTCCTCCTCGGTAACAGCCGCAGGGAGGAATCACCGGGGGCCCGGCAGAGGACGGTCATCAGATAGGTGGTCTCCATGCAGAGAGCCAGGATGCAGCCGTGAGAGAAGCAGGCGCAGTGTTTGTGCGAACAGAGAGATTGCGAGGAGACACAAAGAGCCCAGCCCGGGGAGACGATGCTGCCTTCTGTGTGCGGGACAGGGCGGTGCGAGTCTGCATTTGCCTTGTGCACGTGAAGACGTTGTAGAACAGTGTTTCCCAAAGTGCGGTACGCGTACCCCCAGGGGTACGGGAAGAGTTTGGTGGGGGTACGCGTTGCACCGGAGTTTGGTGGGGATATGAACTGCACCGTGCTTAGCTGCGCCTAATTCTACATTCTTATGAGTACGAGGGGTACTCAGCGTTACGAAAATTATAGAAGGTACACATATGTCAGAAGTTTGGGAAACTCCGTTGTAGAGGAATCAGAGAGACTAATGCCCCTGGGTAATTGGATGGCGGGTGGGAGTCTGAGCTGATACAGGTGGTTGGCCACTTCCAGAGGAGGGAGAATCTACACACAAACATACACCCACACACACACACACACACACACACACACATCTGTTGAATCATGTGTTTGACCTGTTGAAAAATATTAAGTTAGCCTGGCCAGCGTGGCTCAGTGGTTGAAAGGCAGCCTAAGAACCAGTAAGTAGGTCATGGTTCGATTCCCGGTCAGCTACCTGCCTGGGTTGCGTGCTCAGTCCCCAGTGTGGGACGTGCAGGAGGCAGCCAATCAGTGATCCTCTCTCATCAATGGTGTTTCTGCCTCTCCCTGTCCCTTCCTCTCTGCAATCAATAAAAATAATAATAATTACAAAATACTGAGTTAAAAGGTCACCCTACAGGATATGGCCGGGCTGGGAGAGGGTACCCTTCCCCCCTTGGATCAGCTTCGCCGCTCCATCAAATGAGGATCCTGGCTCTCCATCCTCAGTCCCCTCCGGGAAGGTGCCTGGTGGGAGCGGGCCTTAGGGAGGGGGTGTGTTGCATGTGTGTGAACCTCGGGCCCGGCCCCTTCCCAGTGACATCCTGGTTGCTATAGTGCAGCTCTGTTTGTGACACGGAAAACACTGCAGAGAAACGCCGCTTCCTGGCCTGACTTCCTGGGCAGTCTGTCCTTCCGGAGCTGTGAGCGCGGGCTTCCGTGCGGCTCTGGATGGAGCGAGGCCAGCTCCCGGGCCCCGGGCGCCCTCTGAACAGGACCCGGGGGTAAGGGGCGCCTGCTCCCCCACCCAGAGTCACCAAGCTGTCCCCCCGGGGTCAGGTCCCCTGGCTGCTGGACTCCAGGGCGTTGGCACCTTCCCCTCCTCTGTTTTGTCTCCTCCGAGCAGCCAGGGGTGCAGTTGGCAGCTGTGTCTTCTGTTCCCCGAGCCGTTACTTGTACCTAAACCACCAGTGAAAACAGGAAGTGATGAAGCAGGCCCGCCTCTCGTGTGCTCTGAGCGACCTTCTTTCTCTTTGTCATTCCTCACCAGGGATAGGCACGTGTGGCCGTCTGCACCGCGGGAGCCCGGGGCACCAGCGTGGGACACGGCCTCACCATGCCGCCCCCCGCCGACATCGTCAAGGTGGCCATCGAGTGGCCGGGCGCCTACCCCAAGCTCATGGAGATCGACCAGGTTGGTAATGCGAGGAGCGGGGTGGGGTTTTTCTCGGTGTCCCTTCGGTTCTGGGATTTTCGCAGACGTTGATGGCTCTTTCCCCCTAGTCTCCTGGCTGTGCTGAGTCTGTGTGGTAATAGCTGCAGTGTGGTTGGTTTCTGTCCCACACGCAAGGGCGATGCGTGGCTGCTTCACTCTCCCGGCATCTGTGTAGACGGTGTCAGTACAGGGCTTGTCGCCTGGCCAGCGTGGCTCAGTGGTTGAGCATTAACTTATGACTAGGAGATTAAGGTTTGATTCCTGGTCAGAGCACATGCCTGGTTGTGTGCTCCATCCTCAGCGTGGGGCATGCTAAGCAAGGATTCTCTCTCATCATGGATGTTACTGTCTCTCTCTCTCCCTCTCCCTTCCTCTCGGAAATCAATAAAAATATATTTACTAAAAACAAAAACCAGGGCATGTGTCTGAGGCTGTGACGAGGAGCAGGGGCAGTGGCCTGCGGGCTCCAGGCCAGCACTCAGCAGGGGCTGCCCAGCCTGCCCGGCGGGGACTCAGGGACACGTGCAGACCATTTCATGGAGGCAGCACAGAGCTTACTTATTTGAATCCTGTTTCTCTTCAGATTTGACCAGTGCATTGGAGTAAGGGCGTGCTAACGAAGTGAGTGTCCTGGGGCTCAGTCTTGGATCCCAGACAATTGTAATTTTGAGATTAATGTAAACTGCACTGAGAGTCTCATCCATTGCCTAGCAGGTAACACACTTTCAGGAAATGTTTGCGGAAGATAAAACCGTATCACGCCGAAACCGGTTTGGCTCAGTGGTAGAGTGTCGGTCTGCGGACAGGAAGGTCCCAGGTTCGATTCCGGTCAGGGGCATGTACATTGGTTGCGGGCACATCCCCGTTGGGATGTGTGTAAGAGGCAGCTGGTGGATGTTTCTCATCGACGTTTCTAGCTCTCTATCTCTCTCCCTTCCTCTCTGTAAAAAATCAATAAAATATATTAAAAAAAAAACCACAACAACAACTGTATCACGATGACTCAAAAGAGTGGTTTTACCTAGGAGGCCTCCCCTTGCTGGGATCTGGGCAGCTCCTTGGTGAGGCTGGCACTTGCTGTGTTAGCACAGGTTCTCTCGGAGGGCTACCTTGCCCTCAGAGCCAGTGAATCGAAGAAAAAGGGGCTGAACCTTAACACGCAGTGAAGGGTTTCATAGGGCAAATGACAGAGATCCAGACGGCTTTGGCCTTTGCAGAGTTAGGGTGCCATGGCAACCCACTTTTTATTTATGTTCTTGATATTACTTTATGATTATAATCTGTACTGATTTTTTTTTTTCTGGTTAGATTTTATTGTCTGGTTGAAGGCCATATAACATAGTGTGGATCCAAATAACTCATTAAAGTAAGTTCTGCACAGCAAGTCAGAGTTAGCGGAGCTTGAGTGTGCATGTGAGACAAGGTGAGTGTGTAGGGTTATTGTCAAAAAGGCCCCCAGGCCAGCACACCGCTGTCCTCAGGGCTGCTCTTGGAGGTGGCTCCATGCGGCTCTGGAAGCAGCCACTGGGGTGGAGAAGCCCGCCCAGCACTTTTCTGTTCATTTATGCAAATGGCTGTTTGCCCTTTTTCTGGGCTGCTTGAGAGGGGCCACGGCTGGATGTTTACACTGCGCCTGGGCCTGCTGATGCGGACTCGGCTAGTCAGGAGGGGTGTGGCGCAGCTGAGGGAACCGCGCTCGGTGCGATGGGAGCTGGCTCCTGGGCTGGCGCAATGCCCCGGCGTCATGGACCCGCGTGCTTTCTGTCTTGTTGTTCTGCCTCCTCCATGGGGCTGAGGACAGTTGCCCAGGCACCACCTGGGAGCTCATTAGGCATGCAGCGAGGTGAGCCCACCTCAGACCTCCTAGCACAGAACCTGCATGTTAACCAGACCCCACGCTGGCGGGGTTGGGAGTGTCTGCTCACGTTCCTGGGTCCCGTGGAGGCAGTGGGGGATGGCTTTGCTGTGTGTGTATTAATAATTAAAAAATAAATTTAAAAATATTTGGGGCCCAGCCAGTGTATCTCAATAGTCCAGCAATGACCTATGAACCAGAAGGTCAGGACAAGAGGTGCTTGAATTGTGGGCTCGATCCCCAGTAGGGAGCGTGCAGAAGGCAGCTAACCAATGATTCTCTCATCACTGATGTTTCTATTTCTCTCCCTCTCCCTTCCTCTCTGAACCCCCCCCCCCCCAACAATATATTTAAAAACATAAAAATATATTTGGGACAGTTCTAGGTTTACAGAACAATAACGGCAGCTCAGGACAGCCGCCTGGCTCCTGGCTCCTCTCCCCGTTTGATGGATGTGCTTGTCCCCGGGAAGCTTTCAGCTGCCTGCAGACCACCAGCGAGTGCTGGTGTAACCCTCCAGGGAGGGCCTGGAGGGGGGTCTAGGGACTGCCGACTGTGGGAAGCTGTTTCATGTGGAGGAGAGGTCCTTAGACGCGTTATTTATGGCCCCGAGCGTGAAACTCCATGCTCTCCACACCAGGATCTCATCTCCTCTCAGGGAAGGTGGGCGCGGGCCATCCGGCAGGTGAGGGTCCTGGCCGTCATTTCAGGGAGGCCCAGGTGCGCCTCAGACACCTAGGCCAGGCAGCAGGGCCAGGCCCAGGGGCTGATGGGAAGAGGTGCAGACACACCTGGGCCAGGCGGCCAGGCCCAGAGGCTGATGGGAAGAGGTGCAGGTTCCCCCCTAAACCCTGCAGTCTTTCCCCGTGCTGCCAGGCTTTCCTCGGTCGCTGCAGCCACAGCAGCTGGGATTGAGCGTTTTCACTGTGGAAGCTCTGGGGAGAGATTTTGTTTGAAGAAAGTCTACCACAATTAGAAAAAAAAAAAATCATGAACGAGCCTCGAGCTTCCTAGTGATCTGAGATTCCTAGTGATCTGAGTTCCTATTGCCCACGGGACCTCCTGCGCCTCCCAGGAGCCCAGTTCTTTGTAGAAGCTGCCCCCTCACAGGTGCAGCCCTGCACCTTTCCACACGTTAGCAGTCCCTGAGGCTTTGTTCTCACTGACAGCGAGCCTGCCTCCTGCCTCATCAGCGCCCCACGCCTCTGACTCGCTCTGGTAGCACACGGGGGCAGGCAGAGCCGCCTTTGAACTCAAACCCTTTGCGATCATGTTATAATATAGCGTTTCTCCATCCTTCTCATATACCACTCCTGGCTGGCGGCTTTGTTTTACAGTTAGTATAACCCGTGGGCGTGGACCAGCCTGTGTTTTACACACACTGTGTCCTGGGGCCCATCATATTGACCTCCATGTCTGGCTTCCATAGTGAACAGTAAAGATGAGAAGGGAGCTTCGGGGTGCGCCCTTCTCTAGACAGAAACACTTCACGGCACCCTCCCCGGGGTTGGGGATCTTATTTCCCTGAAAGAAACAGCTGCCTGTGCTTTTGGGCAGGTGTGTCCCCAACCTGAGATTTTCCCCTGATCGCCGTGCTTGTATATGTAAGACATGATTCAAGCTGCGTGATTTCATGCACCCAAGACCTTTTGAAAGCTTCTTGATTGCACAGAGCACATTTCAGTGTTTGTGCTGGACATTGGAATTTGGCATCCTGTATGTAATAATGGCCCAGGAGCAGTACTAGCAGGTGCCATCTGTCCAGCACATGCCCTGTGCCAGGTGGCAAGTGCAGTGCCGGTGTGGAGTGGTGATCTCCCAGCACAGGCCTGCGAGGCAGGCTCCCTGTTCAAAGGCGCTTTCACTTGCCTGCGATCACACAGCTAGGAAACGCCTGGTTGGAAGCCAGCACGCCGTAGGACTGAAACCCAGGGAGTGTCTACTAATCATAAATCTGGTTGGTAATTCTTCCTTAAATTTATTTCTTCTCAGCTTTATTGAGCTATAATTGACATAAAATTAAAAGGTATTTAAAGTGTATATCCTGTGATGTGATGTATGTCTCCATCGTGAAAGGATTTCCCCATTTGAGTTAATTAATATATCCTCCACTTCACGTTTATGGTTTCTTCCCCCTCCCATCTCTCTGTGTGAGAACATTGAAACTCTGTGCTCTTAGCAGATTTCAGCTGTGCGGCAAGCACATCCGCGGAGGTGACTCTGTGTTCCACTACTCATCGTGTAGCTGAGGTGTGTGCCCTTTCCCGACCTCTGCCTACTTCCTCCCCCCCTCCCCCAACCCTGGCAGCCACTCTCCTGCTGTTTCTATGAGTTTGACTTTATTTTAGATCCCACCTAGAGTGATCCCAGGGAGTGTTTGCGTTTCCCTGACTTAGTTAACGAGTTTGGTAGTTCTTTCTGCATCTCCCCATCTCTCCCACTTCCACGAGGTGGCTCCTGCCATTGACATTTGAGCAGATGCCCAGCGTCACCACGAGGACTGCTCCATCCATGAACCACGTGACTTCCAGGGACACGTGTCATGGAGGCAAAGAACAGTTAGGGAAAATGTGGCCAGTGGCCTGGGTTGTACCCAAGGAGCCTCTCTGGAGGGAGACAGCACAGAAGGCTGGTTTCTGGGAGGGGCCGTCTGGCTGGGCGCCCATGAGCATGGACGTTGGGGGGACTGACGTGGACTGGGGATCCGGCTGCTACTTACGTGCCGTGCGAGTGGGGACAGCCTCCGCTCCGCGAGGAGCACTGGCAGCCCTCACACATGCTTTCTGGCCACTGGGCCTTCAGTGAGATAATCATTCAGCACTCCGCTCAGCGATGCTAGCCATTAGGAGCCAATTACGGTTTCTTCCGAGGGGCTCACACAACAGAACATGCTTCTTAGGTTTCCAGAGAGACTGGAACCAATAATGGAAGCGTCCTCTCCAGTGCATTGGAGCCAACTCTTAGGAAAATGAAGACCCGGCACTCCCCAAACATCTCAATGACGAGAGCCTGCTCGATGGAAATGACTGAGCTCCACGGAACCAGTTTTGAATCCAGACCTTCAAGATAACAGCACCTACACGGAGAATGTGCCTCATGCCCTTGACCCCACATGTAGCCGTGG